CCCATTTAAAGCTGATCTTTTTGAAAGGGCTTCTATCCTGCATCATTATATTGCTTTCTGGGTATTGCATTATTAGTACACGTGAACCAGAACAGGAATAAATGGGGAATCTGAATTTGAATCTGAAAGGACTTTTGCAGTATGCCTGTCAGTTTAATTGAAAGGATCATCCTGTATTTGTAACATATGCTTAGCACATTAATGTCATAAATGTTAATAGTTTTTTTTTAAAAAAATGCAATATTCATTATGTAAACTTCTCTCTATGGAATAGTATTAGTTACTGAATATTTGATTACACATTACTAATATCAAAATATTTCTCTCCTTTCCTTAGAACANCCAGTACTATCTGAAGACATTTCCACACTCATGTGATAAGCATGGAACACTGTACCTTTCCACTGAAATGGTACTTATTTATCTACTCGCATTTGCATGCTTTCAAACTACTAGGCTGGCAGGAGCTGGGTGAGGACATGAGCTCAACTTTTCACATGGCGCTCTGGTTTCAAACCTGGGCTTCAGTTTTCCAGATGACAAGCACTGCATCTTAACCACTGGCAACACGCCACCCAATGTACAAATGTATATGAGTGGATAACTTTTTTTTATTGTAGTCTAAAAAACAAAGTATTTCCTTTTCCCACAAATAAATGGCATATACAAAATACTAATTTGGAACTCAAAGTTCACAAGCATAGGGAACTGCAGCATCTACACTGAAGAAAAATAAATAGCATGCAAATTTTATTAGAACTACTTAAATGCAATGTCTTTTCACAAAATTCTCATGGTTTGGCCTTGTTATACTTTATTTATGTCATGATCCAGGTGAAGTACATTATGCTGATATTTACTCATTTAATGAGATGCTATACAGACCACCACAGTAGGAAAACAGGAAGATCTGAAGCCCAAAGCACTTGTTCAAAGCAGCGAGATATTTGTTTGGAAGTCAGGAATTCAGTCCAGCATTTCATACTTAAATTACTTTGATTTGCATATATGGCTTCAGGATGTTGCTCACTTCATTTTTTATCAGCTTGCTTTTGGTGGCACTATCAGCTAGCAGTAATGGTGTTTTTAAACTTAATCTTCCGCCTGTGCACAAGAAAGACTTCAGGGTCATTTCTCAATTAGATGGGAAGATAGTGCTGAAGGGTGACAAGATTCTAAAAAGGTATTCCAGTTTGACTTATATTGTTAGCACCCAAGACCCTCCTAATCACCTCATTTGACAACTACCAGCCTTCCTTCCTAAACAATTCTGAATAATACAAGAAATTATTTGGCATCTTCAAATGCAGTACTGTAAAATGTGATTCTCTGTTGAAATCCATTGCTTTGATTTAATTGGAAATGTTTCACACATAGAGAAAATAATTAAAGGGCATGTTCTCTGGAATCACATTTGATGTAAGCCAGGTAGAAATAAATGTCTTATTATAAGAACTCTCTAATGCACATGAGTATATGTCAGGAGTACTGTTGGAAGGTGTGCTTTTTGTTTTCCTATTTTCTCTTTTATTTATTTTCCTTCTCTGCTGTTGGTTATTTAGATTACATAGAGTAAGAGGTATTAATGCAAATTATAGCATCTCTTTTTCCTCTCTGGTACAGATGAAAGACTATGATCCTAGGTGGAAACAGATTCTATATTAGTTATATGAATCAGGCTTTCATCTTGCTTTAAAACTAATTGCATACTTTAAAATATTTAGGGTGCCAAACACATGTTTTCCCCCTTCTATGCCATCAAACCATGCAAAGAACCATCATTAAGAAGAAATGACTTATTTTGGCTATAAATCCTAACAAAATTACAGAATACTATTTTGTGGGGAATGGGAGAAAGTTTTTCTTTCTATATACAGAATCCTAAAGATGGTCTCAGTGTAATTTGCTTTAATGTATTTCTTAGGGAAATGTGTTATAGGAAATTATACCACATGATTCATCTTGCGGGGGCAAATTATCTGCTTTTGCGTCTTTCTATCCAGGAGACAACATACATTTTATGGGTCCCAAATTCCTATGCTTTCCTATATCAAGAACATCTGACATATCTGGATTTTTATTTTATATGAGCAAAATAAAATATATTTTGAACACACATTTATTGAATGTTCATTGAACCATTATCATCATATTACTACATCAAGTTTGCCCCCTACCCCCAGATTTATAAATGTAAATGAAAACCTAATCTATGACTAACAATTATAAAATCAAATTCACCACATACCATTAAAACTTGGTTAGTACATTTAAGACTACAAACTACTTTTCTTTATTAAAAAGTATAAGTAAATACTGAGAAGAAAAATCCCATGTATTGTTTAACATACAACTGGGCTTTACTTTCACAGAAATGTGTTATTTGCTTGAGCAATGGAAAAGAAAAACAGAACAAAGAGAGTTGGAAAGAATGTACTGATGACCCTTATCATCTCTGTTAAATGTTGGTGCATACAGTGCAAAATGCACAAATTACAGATGTATTTTCTTGATGAATTTTTGTTTATATTAGTCAGTGATTAGGGTTGTGAAGAAATAGGTGCTGATCTTTCTCAGCTACTGTTAAATTGCAAAGGCAAGAGGTACTGTCTGATTTTGCATATGTCCTTATTTTAATGGATCTGCAAACGCAGGAATAAAATCCAGTAAATTCCATTCAAATAGTCTTTGCTTCTAAGTAGGTCTGAATAATGTTGTGCAATGCAAATAGCACATTAGACAGGGAAAAATATTTCCTTAAATTGCTGGGCAAAAATAAATAAATACTGTAAGTAAATACAATAATTATTTCTGAAGGAGTCACTTGTATAATTATTTTTGTAACAGTATAGACTTACTATTTAATTCTATATTTAAAAAGATGCACTTTTATATATATTACACTTCATTGAATAATGTGGGACTCCCTTTTGATGTAAGGATATATCTTTGTCAACTGCTTTTGGTGTTTACCTATGAGACATGCAAGTTTCTTCTTTTTCTTTCTTACTAACTTTAATTTTGATCCTATCTAAATATGAATCCAGTAGTCAAAACTTCCCATAAATGGTTGAAGAATGCTTAGTATAACTAGTATAACTATATATAGTTACACTATAAAGGATCACTTGTTTGATTAGATCCAGTATAGTTACACTATAAAGGATCACTTGTTTGATTAGATCCAGTGGTGTTCAGAGGATCTTGCTGCTTTTGGTACAACAGCAGCAAGATCCTCTGAACACCACTGGATCTAATCGAACAAGTGATCCTTTATAGTTACACCAGTTATACTAAGCATTCTTAGTATAACTGGTATAAGGTCTTTTGGTCTTTTTTGGATCTTCATGCAACATTGCAAAATACATAGAAAAGGAATTTATGAACAATACTTCAATGCTGCTTGTAACGAGTGTTTGGAGTAGAGCTTCAAATGTTGTCCTTCTTTCCACTAGATTCTATGTATAAATCAAACTTGTAATCTGATATAAGCTCTGACTTATGAGACTCCATCTTCCCATGCGTGCTTATTGACTGAGTTGAGATTTTACTTGATTGCAATAATGTTAAGTGTACAATCAAAAAGGAAGGCACCTGTCAACATGGCTTATTCGAGATTACAAAAGAATATTGACTCAATATTGATATATTATTCTTCAAACATACTTATTCATGGAAAACTCCTCACCTCTTCAGAAAAGTCATTTTGAATACTTTTTAAATTCCTTTTTTCTAAAAAAAAATTAATAATGATGAATTAAGTGAACTTTAGGAGAACAATTGTTACTGTGCTAATTAGTGTCACTCAGTATGAGAGGTATACCTCAAAGGATATGGGATTCTTTGTAATATTCTAATTAACATATCTTGATGATGTGCCACATAGTGTAAAATAAAATAATGAGTGCAAGTTAAAATAATATTTAAAAAAATAGTTTAAAAGCAAATTAACTGGGGCAAAATATTTTGCTAATATTATTGTCTTAGAAAGCACACTTTGAGAGCTGGCAACACAGCCAGACTACTTACTTATCCTAAGCACAGCTAAACTATTTTTCAAAAGTTCTTNTCCCTTCCTTCTCTACTTCCTTCCTTCCTCCTCTCCTTCCCCTTCTTTCTTCCCTTACCTCTCCCCTACTCAACCTGGTTGAGTTCTGTTGCATTGAAATTATTTCATTAATGAGGCTTGATCCATAAAGAGACTTCCTTCACTGCCTCGTTTATTTGCTATTAAATGTAGGTAACAAGGACAGTAAAGACAGTAAAATATTTTTAAGCACTTCTTTTAGAGTAATTCTTCAAGACTTTGTCCACTATTAAGTGAATAATTCTGAGTTTAGTTTTGTTTAATTAAGTTTTGGGATTTGTTCCAAAATTGAGGGAAATCATTTTTTGTATGACGATTGGTGCTGAGCACGTCTTCCTCACTCTGCAATATTAGCACATTTTGGCTCTTTTAACTTTGATTTAATGATATCTGGCCGCTCTCTGGAGATAGCAGTGTGCATTACTTCATTGTTTTAAAATGTGGGTAGCCCAATTCAACCAAGTGTATAAGCTCGTCTTATAGCCTGGTCTGAATGGGTTTCTGTGCTTCTTCACAAATTTTATCCTGATAAAAACAAGTGTAACTATTAGATCCCTGCAGAAGATCCTTTTTGCTACCTCAAGGAGATGAAGGGCACAGGGGGGGAAAAGGGAGAGCCTCTTTATATGAGCTTCCCTTGCCATATATGACTTATGTTTAACCCAAGTATTAGTTTCTAGTCAGTTACTATATCTGTGGGATTTTAGGATTATTTTCTGTCCTGAACTTTATGTATTTATTGTGAGTGTGGGTGTATGTGTACCCCAAAAATGTAATAATTCAGCAGTTCCTGTCCCCCGCAGAAAAATCTAAGGATACATTTTTCATATTGCTTGAACTTTATATTTAAAACTCTGTAAAGGAAGCAGTATTACATTACTTAAAAGATTAATATATTATCCTCTGCTTACAGTCAAAAAAGATTCAAGCCCAACTGAAGGAGCTTCGCTATGGGAAAAAGGATTTGATATTTAAGGTGAGTTTCTTACTTGAACTGGCAGCAATATTTGCTTAAAGACAGTACAACATTAATCTCATCTGACCAAATGGTTTTATTCTTTTAACACCAATGGAAGAAAATCTCAAAAATGTCAACATACATATTCAAAGGGATTTGGAAGGAAAATGAAAGTTAAATTTGATTTCCATGGTACATTATCCAAATACTCATGTATTTCTGCTTTTTTTAATGGAAAAAAATGCTCACAGAAGGCAAAGTTTCCCAAGAAAAATCAAGCAGTTCTAAAACTTTGAAAATGCCATTTATTTCACATGTAAATATCTCAAGGCTTCTTCAAGGAGGAATATTAGGGTTTTTTTTATTATTAGTATTAAGGTTGTACCATCTCGTAAAACTTTTCTTTCTTCTGTCTCATTTTTAGATTGCTTCTATATTTAATTTTGATTTAGTCTTTGTACCATGGATGCTTTATTTTATACCATAAAGTTTTAGATTTTTATTTACTACTAAAAGTACATGATTGTCATGGTATAAATGTAAAAATTATGACACTANAGTAGTAGTAAGGCAGTTCTGGTCTGCTAGATCATTTGGGCATCAGCAAATAATTTTACAAATTGATATGGAACTGAAATGAAGAAATGTAGAAAGTGTTCAGTACTAAATTATTTCTGCATCAGATTCAGTGTCTATATAAGATTTTTCATAGTGTTAGGTAGTATCAAAATCATCTTATTTCTTAATTTATTTCCTTGTTTACTACCTTGCCCTTTTGAGTCACATTGGGCAGCCTACAAATTGTGGGCCATTTGTTATAGAGATAGCTGTCTTTTTTTCCATGTTCACAATTATTTATGTACGTATATGTTTATCATTCATTTATATGTTTCTAGGCATCTATTTATGTTTGGCTTTGACAATACGTTGTTTAAAAAAATTAAACCCAGACACTGATCTGGTATACATTTATGAGATCAGCAATTTTATCTAAAACATGTAACCTTTTAAAAACATGGGTAAATAGTATTTTCACAATTATAAAAAATAATAGATATAATTTGAAATCTCTAACTAACTATTAACTATTGCTATATTTTTCAAGGGTTGCAAATTAACTTAATTTTTGTTTCCATGCAGAATAGACATGATTTGTGTGATCACATAAATAATGATGTTTCTTATTAAAAGAAAAGAGGATGGATACCTTCAACATTTCAAATAATTTAGTGCCATGTTTTAGGCAGAAAACTTTGTGCTGGCTCAAGGCTAGTAGATGAAATGCATTTCAAATATCCATTCCTGGTCCTAATGCTATAACTTTTGCATGTTGCTGCTATAATATATATAATAAAATGAAGAATAACTCTTTCCAGATTACTATCTCAGATAATCGTAGAGTGACCTTGGATTATTTTCATATATTCATCCAATGTCATATGCTTGCTTGCAGTGTTTCCAGTACAACCAATGGGCTTGAGTCCTTAGTGTAATCAACTCTTGGTTATTTTGACTGTGATTGACTGAATAGTTGACTTTAGCAATTAACTTTGGCTTTTGCATTGTCTCACGATTGCTGATCTGGGGAAATGGTTAATGAACATGCTTCTATCTTTAGGAATTCTCCAGGGAATATATTATGTTGGAATAGATTTACACAAATAACTACTGGAGTCAGTCTATCCTGGTTTACATTATGGGGGTTGCATTTTCCAAGCACACATTTACTTATATTTGTTCTCATATTTCAAAATATCATCATCGGCTAAATAATATTTTTATTTATGTCACTGGATTTCGCTTCAAGGAATAATTAATCCTGCTTACTTGCTTCTTCCACTGCATTAAAAGATTCTATAAGTGAATTGAGTCATGTTCTAGAATATGGAGAATTCATAAAGGTCCTACCTTGTACCACCTTGTCAATTGAAAATCTTCTCTAGAATGTAGTAACATGGTACAGAAAAATATCAGTCATCACAAATGAGCTTTATTTAGGTACAGCTTGCTTGGTGGTATTCTGTGGAAGTGCTTTGAAACATCTAGTTCATGCTATAAAGGCAATTGATTGCACGTAATATATGACGATGCTAATAATTGACATGGATTTATTAGACAACAGGCAATGATGGGTAATAATCAATACAAGGGTTTCTATTTAAACATGCCAAAATGAAAGCAAAATTTTGTCAGGCTAACCAGGTAAACCCATAAACCTTGCAACACAATAATAAATAAAGGTAATGCTGAGCATAATGTATTACTTCAGCTTCAATTTAACTTTCTCTGCAGCTGTTCACATAAGGAATTCAGTTGTGCTTGCATTTTTTTCTACACACAAAGCTCTAAGAACAAAACAAAATAACCAAAAAACAAGGAATATCCATATGCTGCAAGGAAACTATTGCTTTTTGTGAACAATAACACAATTTGATCCAAATTTATTGCCACTACTATCCATCCATAATAATTGCCAGAAAAGAGAACACATTTTCAGAGCCACTGTTTCAACTTAATCAAAAATAATTTATTGGACAATAACATGCACATCTTTCTCTAGGAGGTAGGGGGCTTCTACTTTTCATTCCTAAAAGGTCAAATTAAATTGATTCCCAAAGCTGAACAACCATTAAACATAGTAACATAACTATGTAAATAAATGCTGATAGGAGTGGTTACAATCCCTTAGAGATGTTGTTCTGAGGCACCTAACTAGTCTCCACTGGCAGAAGATAAATTGAGCATTTTATACAGCCCAGCCTGAATTGCTTAAAGCAGCTTATTTCCCTCAGGANTGAAGCTGTATATAAGTCCAAGTGCTATTGCTATTGATAGTCACAAGCATAATCTGGTTAACATTCATCATTTCCTTCTCTCCTCCACCCCAAAAAGTAATGGCATTATTAACATTTTTATTATTATTTGTGAGATAAAGAACTTCTCAGCCTTTATTTAATCTTTAACAAGCTTGTATATGGCAACCTAGAAATTATGTCCATGGATTAATCTTTAAAAAAACAATCCCAGTAAAACGAACCCAAGAATAAAAGGATTTTTTGAGAAATCTTGTATTCTGCTTAAAAAGCGGTGCTGAAATACCAATTTTTACAGGAGCTTTGATCAGGAGCTTTAATATTTTGCACAAACTCAATTAGCACATGGCAAAATAACTTTCTTCTTTTCTCTTGAATGCTTTGAAAATAAAAGTTGTGATAAGAATATACAGATTGAGTTCTCTGTATTTTAATCCCCTGGTTACTCTTCGTTGCCTCACAGTGGCACACACACCTGCAAAAAGCAGCTTGGAGCAATTTATCATTGCAGAAGGAGCCACTTTCACTGGGTAATAGACAAGAACAAGTTAAAATGTGTGTGAAACAAGATGCAGGATGCTGTCATTGCCCAGAAAGTCTGCAAAAAGACACGTGAGGGAAATCCAAATGTAAACAATGCCTGGGAATTATTCCTTTTTCCATTGGCTCTATTTAGCTCATTTATTTGGATAAAAAAGTGTCTAATTTACAAATCAAACTTTCCATTAGGATATGGACTTAAATCTGTCTATTGAGTGCAATTAATATTCTGATTCAATTGGCAACATGTTTCATGGGCATATATTTTGCACAATGCTATTACTAGCTAGCAATAAATTTTTACTGATACTGCAAAGTCCTTAAGTAAAAGATCCAAATGCTTAGGGACCAGGTTTTCATATTTTTTATTGCTATTTCACATATTTCATTTAAAAATATGTTTGGAGGCAGTGTGAAAAGTAAAGGAGTTCCCCAGCACACATATGCACTGTGGTAATACTTTCTTTTTTCCTAGAGAAAAAGATAGATTCAGTCTCTTTTAGGCTTTCTTTCTCAGAGGATCTATTTAAATAGGTTTTGCCACCTTTAAGAAAAGCTTTCCATTATCAATATCTTTTACATAAAGCAAAGTAAAACAAAACAAATCCCTGCTCCCAACAATAGTAGTCATATAGATTCAGTGGCAATGATTCAGTAATTCAGTTCATCTGGAGAGTAGCAGTTTGTGAAAAGTTACCTACGGCAATTTGGGGATTCCAAACAAATTCCTGATTATATTCTCACATTCTTCCCCCTCTCTTTCATACCCCCCTCTCTCCTCTCTTGTTTACCCACTCCCTGTCTCTCTCCTCTCCTCTCTTCTATGTCATAGGGTCATGATGAAAAACCTATGACATGTGTGCCACAGGTGGCATGCAGAGCCCTCTCTGCNAAGGATATGGGATTCTTTGTAATATTCTAATTAACATATCTTGATGATGTGCCACATAGTGTAAAATAAAATAATGAGTGCAAGTTAAAATAATATTTAAAAAAAATAGTTTAAAAGCAAATTAACTGGGGCAAAATATTTTGCTAATATTATTGTCTTAGAAAGCACACTTTGAGAGCTGGCAACACAGCCAGACTACTTACTTATCCTAAGCACAGCTAAACTATTTTTCAAAAGTTCTTCTTCTTGCAGAAGTGGGACTATCATCAATATTAATCAAGATGCAAAAGCTACCTGTCAGAGCAGTGAGGTTACAACTGAGCAATACCAAAGAACATCCCAACAATGAACACAATGCTCATTTGCTCTCATGAGGGTCCTTGATAAATTTAACCTGTCATGTCGTGAGATTTATGGAGTATAGCTTTAATAAGTAAAGATTATATCATTTTTCATTATGCTGTCAGCAAGCTTCTAATGTGATCGCTAGTGCACCAGCACTTTGAGGACCTCCAAACAGAGAGGCAGACTTTGAAATGAATATGTTTAGACAGATTGGCATCCGTGCCAATCAAAATTATTTATCCATAACCATTTTTTAAAGTACCCAGTTCTGTGCTGGAAAAAAAAAACTACATAGACATGTCTAGAAAGTTCTTACAAGTCATGTTCAAGTTGAAGAAATCTTTTATCTTTACCCTTATCTTTACCTTTTTTATTTTTTAGAAATTATACAGGTCCACATCGAAAATCAGGACAGTCTGCATGTACAT